TGGTCTTGGGGATGACTGTCTGTGCGGAGTTTGCACGTTCTCCCCGTGTCTGCATGGGTTTCCTCTGGGTGCTCTGGTTTCTTCCTACAGCCCAAAGATGTGCAGGTTAGGTGGATTAGCCATGGGAAATGCAGGTAGGGGGCTGCTCTTCGAAGGGTCGGTCTGGACTCAATGGGCCGAATGGTCTGCTTTCACACTGTAGGGTTCTGTGATTCTTTCACTGGATTTGAACATCAATGGCAAGGCTAGTGTCCCTAACTTGACTGTAAACTGAATAGTTTTCTAGGCCATTTCCCAGGGCAGTTAAGAGTCAATGTCATTGCGTGGGACTGCAGTCACACACAGGGCAGTTCAGGTAAGGATGGCAGATTTCATTCCCTTGAGGGCATTAATGAGCCAGATGGGTTTTGCAACAAATCAAAGACTGCATATTTCATAGCGCAATTACTGAGGCTAACTTTATATTCTCTGTTTTATAAGGTAATGTAAATTCCACTGGGTTACTTGGTGTGATTGAAACCCATATTCCTAGAACTTTAGCCTGTGTTTCTGGATTACTAGTCCAATGACATTACCTTTATCTTTCATTCATTCATGGACTGCAGATGTTGCATGCAAAGTCAGCATTGATTGCCCATTTCTAACTGCCCAGAGTGCAATAGGACTGAGTGAGTTACATTCAATTGTTAAACCGAATATTTTTCACCTGCACATGGCTGCTTATTGTGGATTCTGGATGAGAGGCTACAAAGGTCGTATGAAGCAATGAAGCCAGATGGGGAGGTGAGTGAGGGCCTCATAGGTTGAGATCAGTTGTTTCCAAACAACTGGGACAAAGTCAGGATCAGTGAGCCTGGTTTTATGCATCCCTCAGCAGCACCAGCACCCTCCTACCCCACCGCACCCTCGCCCCCTTCCTCCTCCCCCCACCCCCCCACACCCCGCCACCCCCGCTTTCTTGTCTATAGTTGCATACTGGACAGCTACTGAGACAAGTCTGCAGAGTTGCGAAATCCACCTTTGTTCACACTGCCCATTTGGATAGTAAAGGTCTTACCTCAGAGCATTGGTCTGACAGGCACACAAACTGGCAGATTTCAGACTTGTGGATTGAGGGAGAGGGCAGACACATCATGGAAGGTCCTGCTGGAGGAGGTCCACAAGAGATGTCCTATACTCTCACTACCCCCTGGAACAGCAGGGTGCTCTCCCTTGCCTTGCCCCTCTCCCCAAACAAACTGGAGCCTTCTGACCAACCGCCAACAAGCAGGTTCTCTCTGTCTCTCTCTCTGTTTCTCCTGGTGACTTCCATTCAGTATAGAGCAGCACTTATTCTCAATTAAGTGAAGCTCGCGGAGATTCCTACAATAAATGTTAATGAGCGTGTTAATGACAAAGTGCCCCAATAAAGTGTTCTGTGACATTTCAACAATTCTCCATGAACCTCCAACAGCACATGACCAGCGAAAGGTGATTCGGGCACTCCCTGATTTACGAATGCTCAAATTTAGAACGGGATCCCATACAGGGGTGTAATAATATTAATTTTAAACATGCTGTATTGCCTCTTTAATGCAGGGTATGTTGCAATCAGCTGCTCACGTGCTGAGTGTTCATGAGAAATATTTGTTGGGCTACGGGGAAAGAACACTGTCGGAGAGCTTCCTTATGTACAGGCTCCTTCTGTTCTATCTGGTTTGAGGATTCTATGCAATTGAAAGCAGAACTTAAATGCAAGCTGCTTTTTCTTACACATGCCAACTCTCTGCCTTGAGACATCCCAAGCGGTTAAACCTGTGATTTTTTTTTGTTAAAAGTGTAGATCAGCGATCACTAGTTGGATGTTGTGATGATTGCATACGGGACTGAAATTAATTTGGGCTTTGAGATAGTAAGAACTGCCAATGCTGGAATCAGAGATAACACAGTATGGAACTGGAGGAACACAGCAGACCAGGCAGCATCAGAGGAGCAGGAAAGTCGATGATTCTGAAAGAGGGTCCTGATCTGAAACATCAGCTTTCCTGCTCCTCTGATGCTGCCTGGCCTGCTGTGTTCATCCAGCTCCACACTGTGTTAACTCGAGCTTTTATTTTTTTCTTCTTTTGCTGGTTATGGGAGTCACTGGCTGGGCCCGCATTTATTTGCCCTCCCTAGTTACCTTTTGAGGGCATGGTGGCAAGTGGCCTTCTTAAACTGCTGCAGTCCCTTTTGATGTAGGTATATTCACAAAGCTGGTAGGGAGGTAGTTTCAGGATTTTGATCTGATGATACAGCAGGAATAGTGATATATTTTCAAGTCAGGATGGTGAGTGGCTTGGAGGGGAACTTGCATATGATGGCGTTCCCGTGTATCTGCTGCCTTTGTCCTTCTTTTGGGGAGGTAGAGTTTGACAGTTTGCAAGGTGATTTTCAAGGAGCCTTGGTGAATTTTTGCAGTGCATCTTGTAGCTGGCATCCACTGCTGCTACTGTATGCTGGTGTTGGAATGAATGAAGGTTTGAGTACGTGGTACCAATCAAGTCAAGCTGCTTTGTCTTGGATGGTGTTGAGCTGCTTGAGTGTTGTTGGAGCTGCACCCATCCAGGCAAGTGGGGAGTGTTCCATCACACTCCTGACTTGTGCCTTCACGCAATGTGTATACTGCCTAAATGAAGAGCAAAGACCTACAATTCAGGAAACTAAGGTTGTAAAGAACGTGAGACAAGGAGAGTTAAACCAACAAGTTGTGAGGATGTGGCACTGAGATTGGGTTCGAAAAATGCTTGTGGGTTGGAAGACTTGAAAGGAAGGGTTTCCAGAATTCTAAAATCTTGTGTAGGAATCAGAGGACTTTTTCCAGGAAAGGCCACTAAAACTACACATAAAATCTCAGCAAAATCAATCAGGCAACAATGCGATTCAGAGATAACAAGGTGTAGAGCTGGATGAACACAGCAGGCCAAGCAGCATCAGAGGAGCAGGAAGGCTGACGTTTCGGGCCTAGACCCTTCTTCAGAAACAACCTCAGTATCTCTGAAACAATGCGGTTCACTTTCTTTTACTTGTCAAACATTCACCAAATATGTTTTGTTTTGGAAGAAAAGTACTTGCCTCTCTCTTTTTGTAGCAAAATATGTCGTGGGCAGTGTTCCCTCATCATGACGCTTCCTACATTCAATACATTATTTCCAGCTCCGCACATGGGTACAAAATATTAAATCAAATTATGGAAACAATGAAACAGCTTTTGTACTTTCCACACCATCTGCTGAATCATTGTGTAATTTGGCAGATATTGATCCAAGGTTGGAATGTGCCCATCTGCATCACGTCTTGTTCCATTTATCTCATCATTATCTTTCATTTGTTTTAGTTCTACTGGTCCCTTGATATTTCTCTTGAGTTTACCTTCAACAGGGTGTTATACCCGATGCGCCAATACTTATGTTATCTCGCATAGCATACGAAACAAGTGCGGACATTATGGTATTGAAGAATCCAACAAAAGTTGCTTACAACTATTGTATACAATTGTTACCTTCCTCAGATATGAGAATGTCGGACTAATGTTAAGCTATTAGGTTGTAACAGAGGATCAAGTTTCTGGTAGTGTCATGCCTCAAATGATCTGAGGTAGGATCGAGTCTGAGATCGTTATACCCTCAGGTCACATGCGACTATGGCTGTCATGAGAATGTCTCTTAAAGGACTATTGGCCATGAAGTCCGAACACGATACTTCTGATAGAAGCTGTGAAATTCAGAACAAAAGTTTGGTCATTTTCTTCTTAAAGTATTGTTTCTCCTGAATTTGCAGTCTCGAAGTTGTAACACTCACTTCTACATTTGGTGATGTTAAAGCTGCTGACAGAGATGGCAAAACAGGTACCATGATAACGGCAGCGTGCCAATTGCCTGCCTGCCTGCCTACCCTTTGGGTGACTTCCACACAGCAGGGGTGTCGAAACACATCCTACATGGCCATGGGGCAGTTGAGGCCCTTGAGTGACCAATTGATGGGCCACTTAAGCGGCTTCATTGCACACAAACTGGAATTTCACCTGCAGTTGGGGAAACCAGCAATAAAGCATCCTGGGTGAAACGTGCTGTCCTCTAATGGGGGTGGGGTAAAAGCCTCCTGTTTGGCTGCCATGCCCACTAGAGGCGTTGTAACCCCACCCTGACCCTAACACTAACTCCACCTACACTGGTCCCGATGCTACAATCATTTGTGGGGTCTGCCAGCCTGCCCTTCTAAGATTCTGGACTCGTCTCCATCTAGACACCTAGCTCTTGCCCCAACCCCTGTGATGCTGCTGAAATGACAGAGCTCCAACCATTTCGTCATGAACAGCTTTTCCAAACTGAAATTCTCCAAGGCACCTATCAGAGGAAGCCAAACTCGGTAAGGGGAATAGAGTTCTGTGCCTAAAGACCAAGAGTGAACCAGATGTGTTTTCATGACAGTCTAACAGTTTCAAGGTCACCATTACGGACATCATTTTTTTTATATTCCAGTTTTCATTCACTTCCATTTAAATTCCCCAGCTGCTCTGGGATTTAAACTTGGGTCTCCAGATCATTAATCCAGGTTTACTGGACTTATTAAAGTCCAATAATATAATTACTGTGTTACTGTACTTTGTGAGTAATGCAATACATTTTGAGTAATGGGAATGCTGTAACATCTGGCAATGTTACCTACATGCTTCTTTTAAAATGTGGAAGGTTACTTTAGTGCAGACATTGGAGTTAGTGTTTTTCAGCAAAATTGCATGGATTTTTTTTTTGTTGGAGCATGATCTGTTCTGAGCATGCTTAGCTGTTTCAATGCATGTTCTTTTGTGGGTTTTCCAAATGCCTTTGTACAGAGTTATATCTATAAGCTGAATGGAGTTAGCCAACAAAAGCCACCACTAAAAGCAAATCGAATGACTCAGAGTTGGCTACAATCTCCAGCAGATTTTTTTTTTGCCAGCACCCTTAGCTGATGAGAGCGAAGTTTCCCCTCCAGCTTGTTGTTACTATGTTGATGAACGCCAGATTGTTGGGAAATTACAGTTTATTCGAATCAGCTAAGGTTTCACATTGAATGCTGACACATATACTGCCTTTTCTCTTGCTGGCAAAGAGTAGAGGGAGAGAGAGTTTTCGCACTGTGCTGAACATGTATTTTATTTTGCTTCTAGCATCGCACTGTTGGGCTGCCTCTGGCAGTCTTTGAGGACTTCAGAGGCTCCTCTCTGCAGATGGCACAGAGTCAAGTTGTTGGCTCGAGATTTGCTAGAGTCTATTAACTTCTCTAGAATTGATCCTAAGACTGAGCTATGGGTGAAGAGCTACGAGCAGGAACAACTTTTTGGCTGTGAACAGAGGAGGCTGTAAGAAGACTTTTCATTAGAGGTACAGTATATAAGAGAAAAAAAGTGGATTTTCACATTGAGTTCAAGTAATGACAAAGAGGGTCTATGATGCATTCATTTAAAATAATGAAGTGTTAATTCAGGACTGTCAGGAAGACACTGAATGCCTGATGTTTTGAATAATCTCTTATATTAGGCAGTGGAGGCGAAGAGAAGTTTCCACTTAATTCAGGGAGCAGTAGACCGGCATAAAGTAGATACTGAATTTTTGATAAGTGTGGTTGAGTTAATTTGGTTAAGGTGATTTATGTACACTTGTTGTGATGTTACAAACTATATGGGGGTTAATTTGATTCAGGGCTAAAAATGGGGGTGCTAAATTATTGCAGTGCCTGGAAGACAAACCTGTTTGAGAGCCTGGAATTTTTACCTCCATTGCTGATTTGTACCTTGTAAACTGGCCTAGAGATGTGAGCCAGAAATTTGCACGTTACACAATCGCATGCTGACCGATGTAATTTTTGTGGTGCTGTAAAAGGCGTGTTCCATATGCGCTTCCACTGGCTCACTGCAGGATGGAGACAGTGAGTACAGCCATGCTGGAGGTGCTGGTGGAGTTTGGTGGGAGCAGGGATGCCCTGTGTCCAGCAGTGCAGGGAAGGGATACCCACCTATCCCTCAGTTTTGTTTTCACTGTGGCAATTACTGATGCTCTGCTTGGTCTAATGTTTGTCCTTCCATTCCTGGCCCAGAACAAGGGAGGAATCACTAGCAAGATGCCCATCACCAAACTCCCTTGTCTCCTGGTGGTTCCTTTTTAAAGCCTTCAATAAGCATTCATTAGCTTTATGTAGCTATCTCAGAGTTTCTGGGCTCAGTGCTGTTGATGTTGACAATTCAGCAGATTCACAGAAAGCCTCCCGACGTCTTTCAGAGGTTACTGCAGGGTTGCAGCAGCAACAAATGTGAAACGATGTGTACCTTTTCAAAGTTGCCCTTGAAATTAATGTAAGTATTAAAGTGATATCTACCAGGATGCTATGCAATCTGTGTCTTTAACTGGTGCTCTGTGGCACTGTGAGTAGCAATAAGATGTTCGACAAGCCTTCATACGGCATTCCTGTCACTGGTTTCACCCCCTTTACTGAAATCATATCCTACGCTAAAATTCACTCGTGGGTGTTGCTGGCTGGGCCAGCATTTATTGCTCGTCCCTAGTTGCCCTTGAGAAGGTGGTGGTGAGCTGTCTCCTTGAGCCCCTGCAGCCCCTGTGCTGCAGGTACACCCACAATGCCATTGGGGAGGAAATTCCAGGATTTTGACTTAGCAACACCTGCAGGAACAGCTTTATATTTCCAAGTCAGGATGGTGAGTGGCTTGGAAGGGAATTAGCAAGTGGTGGTGTTCCATGTATTTGCCACCCCTGTCCTTCTAGATGGAAGTGGTTGTGGATTTGGAAGGTGCTGGCTAAGGAACCTTGGTGAATTTCTGCAGTGCATCTTGTAGGTGGTACACACTGCTGCTACTGAGCATCGATGGTGGAGTGACTGAATGTTTGTGGATGTGGTGCCAATCAAGCAGGCTACTTTGTCCTGGATACTCATCCAGGCAAGATGGGAGTATTCCATCATACTCCTGATTTGTGCCTTGTAGATGGTGGACAGGCTTTGGGTAGTTGGGAAGTGAGTTACTCACGGGAGTATCCCTAACTTCTGAACTGCTTTTGCAGCTGCTGTATGTATATGGCAACTTCAGTTCAATTTTTAGTCAATGGTAACTCCCAGGATGTTGACAGTGGGGGATTCAGTGATTGAATATCAAGGGAAGATGGCTAGATTGTGTCTTACTGGAGATGATCATTGCTTGGCTTTCTGTATTGCAAACGTTACTCGTTTAGACAAGCACATGAAGTTTGGTGGAGTTGTGGACAGCATGGAGGGCTGTTGTAGGTTGCAATAGGACATTGACAGGATGCAGAGCTGGGCAACGGAGTGGCAGATGGAATTCAACCCAGAAAAATGTGAAGTGATTCATTTTGGAAGGTTGAATTTGAATGCAGAATACAGGGTTAATGGCAGAATTCTCGGCAGCGTGGAGGAACAGAGGGATCTTGGGGTCCACGCCCATAGATCCCTCAAAGTTGCGACCTAAGTTGATAGGGTTGTAAAGAAGGCGTATGGTATGTTGGCTTTCATTGGCAGGGGAATTGAATTTAAGAGCCGTGAGGTTATGCTGCAGCTCTATAAAACTCTGGCTAGACCACACTTGGAATGTTGTGTTCAGTTTTCGTCACCTCATTACAGGAAAGATGTGGAAGCTTTAGAGAAGGTGCAGAGAAGATTTACCAGGATGCTGCCTGGACTGGAGGACAGGTCTTATGAGGAAAGGTTGTGGGAGCTAAGGCTTTTATCATTGGAGCGAAGAAGGATGAGAGGTGACTTGATAGAGGTGTACAAGATGATGAGGGATAGATAGAATGGATAGTCAGAGACTTCCTCCCAGGGCAGAAATGACTATTACGAGGGGGCATAATTTTAAGGTGATTGGAGGAAGGTATAGGGGAGATGTCAGAGTAGGTTCTTCACACAGAGAGTGGTGGGCGTGTGGAATGCGCTGCCGGCAGTGGTAGTGGAGTCAGATACCTTAGAAACTTTTAAGCGACTCTTGGATAGGCACATGGAGAATAGTAAAATGTAGGGTATGCAGGATAGATTGATCTTAGTAGGATAATAGGTCGGTACAACATTGTGGACCGAAGGGCCTGTACTGTGCTGTACTGTTCTATGTTCTATGTTCACACACTCCCAAAGCCAGGAATAATGGGACAATATGTAAGTTGTTAAGGCAAAAATAATAATTGTTGTATTCTATATGATATTTTATCTCTGATCAACAGCAATTCTACTCTGTAGTAGGGTCTTGGAGAATTGATGTGTTCTGGGATACCTAACTCTGATTCACCCCTTCTTCTGAAAATACACACCAGTTTCTGATTGCCAGCTTCACCTTAATTACTCTGCACAGCGTGAACATTTTTGGTGTAAAGGATCATGCCGTATCATGTAATGGTGCGGAGTACTGGAGTGCTGGTGGGAAAATATCGGTTTTGTGAATTAAATACGTGCCCACAGTTTGTAAAGTATATAAGCATCTGCACAGAATGTGATAAAGGTTCACATGAAAATTAAATTATTTTGATGAACTGAACAAAAAAATGTTGGTGTAGATTTCATTGTGTCATCTGTGGCTGGCTCAGTAGCATTGAGTTTAACTCCCACTTCAGAGACTCCAGTGTCTCCAGTGTAAGATGTGAGCTGCCATTTCAGTTGTGCATCACGGACGAGATGTTCAGCCAATGGCCTTTCTGTTGAAGGACTGGATTATTCTGGGGGAAAAGAGAGGGAAATTCTCTCTGGCCAATATATATCTCTTACATTTCTTTTTGGCGATGTTATTCACCTGTTGTTTTAGCATGCTGTTCGCAGCCCCTTGTTAAGTGCAAATTGACTTGCATTTCCTACAGTGACTGCACCTTCATCAGCTATGAGACACTTTGAGACATCCTCAGACCCAAAAAGCACTATATAAATGCAAGTCTGCACTTACAACAAATACAGGACTATTAGACAGCAGTACCTTTACTACACCCATCAGAGGCTTTGATTGCTCTGTTTAATTAGCTCGGTCTAAGTGTTCTCTTTTTCCATATCACATCCTAGATTGAGTGAGGAAGTAAAACGCACTAGAACTGACTGATGGGTATCTTGGGGCATGATGTGACGCTTTTGTTAATGAAACAGTTGCAGGTCAGCACAGTTTCTTCCTACAGTTTTACAGATAGCAGAGGATTATTGGAACATAGTTTTTATATTGGCTGAGGCAGCAGGCATTAAAAGCCTGCATTTGTAAAGCAGCTGCCAGAAGCAGTAAAATGGCATGTCATGAGTAATTTATAATATGATCTCAACAACCACTTTAACAATGAAATTATACAGCTTTATGAGCACTTGAGTGGATACCTTTAAAGTATTCATCAATCAGTTTGTTTTTTCTTCCTTTTTTTATTTCAATGCCTGGAACTGCACACCAAGGGATGGTCCTCAAATGTAGCTGTGTAACTGTAATATAACTGAATAAGAATCCCCAGATTTTGTAGGGGGTCATAATCGATGGCACTCGTCACTGATCTCTAGGAACATTGGCCACAGATCTTTGTTGTGTGGATTTCCTGTGAATTGGCTGTGATTATGTGAACCTGGCTCTAAACAGAGATTTCTGATCAGCCAGCAGTGGTGGCAACAGCAAGAAGCCAATTAATTTGAACAACTCTCACTGACAGCAAGGCAGGAAATAAAATGCTCCCTTTATCTATAAATTTTACAAAATATAATGGTTTGGACATTTATATATTTGGATCTGAAATATCAAACTTTTTAAACTTACGTTGAACTTTATCACAACTTAAAAAAAAATTGTTCTTACATAAAAGTAAAATTAGGTTTCCAGGCCAGAGGGATTCTTCAACAGTAGTTTCACTTAACAAGATATTACTCTCTTTGAGTGTTTGTAAGAGCAATGTTACAATATAAAGGGCAAGCTCTCATCAGTCTTGCAATTTCTAAAGGATAATCTTTTGTAGAGAATTCTCTGCATTGTTGAGGAGCAAAGAATCACTGACTACATTTCCGGATTTCAATGCTTTGCACATTTTATGTACAGACTGTGGAAATCGCTATAACAAAAGCAAAATGTAGATGGTTTTGTTGTTGTCGCAAACAAAAATCTCAGCTGTTGTGTCTTTCTGTCCCTCTCCTCCCCTCTGAGTCTGGTGCCTTTGCAGTCATACAGTCATAGAGATGTACAGCATGGAAACAGACCCTTTGGTCCAACTTGTCTATGCCAACTAAATTAATCTAGTCCTATCTGCCAGCATTTGGCCCATATCCCTCTAAAACTCTTCCTATTCATATACCCATCCACATGCCTTTTAAATGTTGTAATTGCACCAGCCTCCACGACCTCCTCAGGCAGATCATTCCA